AATCTAACTCAGAGGGCTACAACTCTTGTAGAAATATCATTTTTCCAATTCGAACTTTTGTTATTCAAAAATTGGGTCTCAATGTGAGCTTGAAAATCCGAAGCATAATTTTTTTGACTGGAAGTTGATATGTGATAATATTTGGACTATATTTCATCCATTTAGCTTCTTTCCTCATCCAATTGATGTCTAACAATCTCAAATCTTCATCTCAAGGTTCGATGTAACTTTTGAGTATTTTGCATTTTTGTCCCCAAACTTTGTATTTGATACAATTGAGCCATTTTTCGCTATGTGTACATTCTTTTCTCCAATTTTTTATTAAACATTGAGTTTTACCTACAAAATGAAATATAACACAAGTTAGGTATCATTTTATAAAAAAAAAAAAACAGTAAAATATCATCATTTAGGATCTCAAATAAGTGTAGAAACTACGCTCATCGTTTATGATCTCAAATAAGTGTAGAAACTAAGCTTATCAACAAGCATGAAATTTAATATGTGGACAAGTTTGGAGTTAGCAGACTTAGTTCACTGATGTGATTACTTTCGACGGTTACATGTTAATGATCGAAATGTGCAAAGCAGTTTTGCAAACAAGTTGGTTACCCTATAACGCAATTTTATCTTTTGGCCTTCACCATCGAAAATAAAAAAGACTATGACCATGCACAGCACATTTATACACAAATCCTTACCTAAAGACATGCATATTGCATAATATGTGTGTATTTGGGAGAAGGGGGTGGGAAAGTACTAAGAGATTCAATGACTTTAGAGAGTGGGAGAGAGAAAAATTTAGAGACATTGTCGTATGAAAGAGATTTGGCGTTCGAAACAAAGTTCAAATTGGGGTTTAGCATGAGACTTCAGTTAGGATACATGGTCGGGTTGGGGTTTCCGAAGTACCCATTAGCAGTGGCTATGGGCTGAGAATTGGTGGTGGGGGAGTTGGGGAAAGTATCATGACAAGTGTTATCAGGTCACTTTTTCTACAGTAAATTTTCACCTATATGACACCAAGTTTCTTACTTAGTAACCAACGATACTCAAATTTTTTTATGTAATGAAGAATTGCAACACTTTACAAAGGAGAGAAAAATGATAAAGGAACAAAGCATGTGTAGGGAAATACTTCCCAATTACCACAATAAAAGATAACTCATAAAATTGGCTAATCACAAAAAAGTGCGCAGTTACAACTATGTCTCATGCCTTGAGTTCTTATAAATTTGTATGGCTGACACCCTCAGTCATAAGGACAAGAATTCAAAATTTCCACCCAAGAAAACTATTCAAAAATTGCTCCAACCAAATCGGTAACCAACTTGTTTGCAAAAACTGTTTGCTCATGTCAATGGATAACTGTCGAAAGTAACCGTATCAGTGAACTAAATCCAACTAACTTCAAACTTGTTCACATATTGAATTTCAAGCCTACACATCATGAATCTACTAGACTATGCTCAGTAGAAGGCCAAGGCCAATCCCATAACTAAATTGCATGCCGGGGCTCCGCTCGTGCCCTGTTTTCATCCGTGCACTACCAATTTATTCATTTTCTAATAATTATCGACATTATTGCTTTGCATCGAATCTTCTCCAATGTACAACTTTCCAATGCATCTCAGTCATGGCATCGACGGGGAGTAAGGCACTGTCCATGCCTTGACCATTACAACACTTTCGATCATCTAGGGGATAACGGCAAGCTAATTTAACGATAACTAGTGAGCGCACGTGCGAGGCACGTGACGTAGTATAGTTGGCTACGTAATAGCGTGAGAATTCAGAAATAACAAAAAATCCAAGATTTTCGATAAAAATAAAAAGAATCTACGCAGGAAGAACTCCATCAATCATAAAAATTTTCCACTCTCAATCAAGTAATTGAAATCGGTTGAAATAGTATGCGGTTGGAAAGATAGACGTCTCTGCTTTACTCTCTCTTCTCTACTTCTCAAATACTAAATAGATAAAAGAAATGGAGACTAAAAAACACAAATGATTTACTTCTAAAAAGATAATTTATATGTGTCCATTGATAAATGCTACATATCGTAAACCAATTTTGAAAGGTTTTCAAGCATGAAGCAGCGGTGTTCACCTAGATTCCAAGTGTTTTATCATCATTTTCTGAGGCAGGATCTTCTGCTAAGGTATGGAGAAAGGAGGNATAATTCTACTTTTATTTATTATTCTTTTCCAAGATATAATAAGCCTATGTTGACATGACACGATCCTATTCCTAGTCCGCATTCATATGATGAACACGCATTAAAATATAGAATTATTACACACGATCGTACACTTCACAAATATGATTCCTAATATTTATTTTTCATGTGTTCCACATACAATGTTCTACATATCATGAGTTTTCAACACTACGAATAAGAAACTCATTGCCCTAATGGTGCGCATCATTAAAATAATATGAAAAAGCATGTATATAAAATCACAACGCAAGAATTAACTAACAATCACAAGTCTTGAATTAAAAACTAGAAATCAAATAGTTACATCAGTCATCCAATACAAATAAACTTAGCCTAACATATTGATATGAAAATTACATAGAAAATAAAAGAAAGCCATCACCCGAATCATGTAAAATTGAAGAAAATCTGGAAGTTGACTCTTCGAGCCTTCAAAATCGGATCCAAAACGGTGAATTCCTCATCTTCAATGTAAGTTTTCTCTCTTTGTTCTCTAAAAATATGGTTCTTCCATAAAAGTCACGAAATTCCCCTTTATATTCTACCTTAAAAAGTGCCTTAAAACATTATTAAAACAAAATACGGAAAGTATAATTTTCTCCCCGGTTTACCTTGAGGCACGTGCCTTAGCCTTTAGGTATGCCTCAGTTGAGGCCAATTTGAAGTGAGGCATCGCGCGCGCCTTAGTCTAAATTTTGGCAGCTGAATAGTTCTCAATATTTTTATCATAACTTTTTTTCTCAATATCCGATTGAGGTGATTCAAAATGATTTGAAAATCTAACTCAGAGGGCTACAACTCTTGCAGAAATATCATTTTTCCAATTCGAACTTTTGTTATTCAAAAATTGGGTCTCAATGTGAGCTTGAAAATCCGAAGCATAATTTTTTTGACTGGAAGTTGATATGTGATAATATTTGGACTATATTTCATCCATTTAGCTTCTTTCCTCATCCAATTGATGTCTAACAATCTCAAATCTTTATCTCAAGGTTCGATGTAACTTTTGAGTATTTTGCATTTTTGTCCCCAAACTTTGTATTTGATACAATTGAGCCATTTTTCGCTATGTTTGCATTCTTTTCTCCAATTTTTTATTAAACATTGAGTTTTACCTACAAAATGAAATATAACACAAGTTAGGTATCATTTTATAAAAAAAAAAAAACAGTAAAATATCATCATTTAGGATCTCAAATAAGTGTAGAAACTACGCTCATCGTTTATGATCTCAAATAAGTGTAGAAACTAAGCTTATCAACAAGCATGAAATTTAATATGTGGACAAGTTTGGAGTTAGCAGACTTAGTTCACTGATGTGATTACTTTCGACGGTTACATGTTAATGATCGAAATGTGCAAAGCAGTTTTGCAAACAAGTTGGTTACCCTATAACGCAATTTTATCTTTTGGCCTTCACCATCGAAAATAAAAAAGACTATGACCATGCACAGCACATTTATACACAAATCCTTACCTAAAGACATGCATATTGCATAATATGTGTGTATTTGGGAGAAGGGGGTGGGAAAGTACTAAGAGATTCAATGACTTTAGAGAGTGGGAGAGAGAAAAATTTAGAGACATTGTCGTATGAAAGAGATTTGGCGTTCGAAACAAAGTTCAAATTGGGGTTTAGCATGAGACTTCAGTTAGGATACATGGTCGGGTTGGGGTTTCCGAAGTACCCATTAGCAGTGGCTATGGGCTGAGAATTGGTGGTGGGGGAGTTGGGGAAAGTATCATGACAAGTGTTATCAGGTCACTTTTTCTACAGTAAATTTTCACCTATATGACACCAAGTTTCTTACTTAGTAACCAACGATACTCAATTTTTTTTATGTAATGAAGAATTGCAACACTTTACAAAGGAGAGAAAAATGATAAAGGAACAAAGCATGTGTAGGGAAATACTTCCCAATTACCACAATAAAAGATAACTCATAAAATTGGCTAATCACAAAAAAGTGCGCAGTTACAACTATGTCTCATGCCTTGAGTTCTTATAAATTTGTATGGCTGACACCCTCAGTCATAAGGACAAGAATTCAAAAATTCCACACAAGAAAACTATTCAAAAATTGCTCCAACCAAATCGGTAACCAACTTGTTTGCAAAAACTTATTGCTCATGTCAATGGATAACTGTAAGTCATAAGGACAAGAATTCAAAATCTCCACCCAAGAAAACTATTCAAAAATTGCTCCAACCAAATCGGTAACCAACTTGTTTGCAAAAACTGTTTGCACATGTCAATGGATAACTGTCGAAAGTAACCGTATCAGTGAACTAAGTCCAACTAACTTCAAACTTGTTCACATATTGAATTTCAAGCCTACACATCATGAATCTACTAGACTATGCTCAGTAGAAGGCCAAGGCCAATCCCATAACTAAATTGCATGCCCGGCTCCGCTCGTGCCATGTTTTCATCCGTGCACTACCAATTTATTCATTTTTTAATAATTATCGACATTATTGCTTTGCATCGAATCTTCTCAAATGTACAACTTTCCAATGCATCTCAGTCATGGCATCAACGGGGAGTAAGGCACTGTCCATGCCTTGACCATTACAGCACTTGCGATCATCTAGGGGATAACGGCAAGCTAATTTAACGATAATATGTTTGGCTTATAAGTTTGGGAATTTTCACTTTTTAGTCCCCAGTCTTTACAAATATTGCTATTCTAGTCTTAATAGTTTTTTTTAGCGTCCAACATCTACAACCTTTCTATAATGCACCACCACCTTCGGCCTTGCACCCTGGCATAGATCATGGCTTCTCCTGCTATTCCCAGATCCCCACTCCAACGCCTCTCCACCTTCAAGAACTCTCCGTCCGCGGCCACCACTACTCCCACCACTGCCACCGGAAATGCCAATTCCATTCACAAGACAGTCCCTACTTCAGCACGCCTCCCCCCTACGCCATCCGCCCTAGACACCTTCACCACTGACCCAATTTTCTCTGCTTTCCTCTCCCCTGATTTCAATCCCTCCCAATTCTCCTCCGCTGTTCTATCCTCCGGCTCTGCCGCCTCCCGTATTGAAAAGCTCCAGGAAGGCCTCCGTCTTCTCGACAATCAGCTCCGCCACGAGGTCCTCTCCCGCCACCAGGACCTCCTCAACCAGCTCTCCTCCCTCAAAGCCTCTGAATCCTCCCTCTCCTCTCTCCGCTCCTCTCTTTCGTCTCTCCAGTCCTCTCTCCGCGAAGCTCGCGCTGAGCTCTCCGATCCCCACCGCTTGATTGCCGCACAGACTCTCCAGCTCAATAATTTACATTCTACTTCTCTCCTTCTGCAATCTACACTTCGCACTCTTCGACTGGTTCAGAAGCTCCAGAATCTTGTTAATTCCCAACCCGACTCGGAAAAGTGGGATCTTTCTAAGGCAGCGCAGTTGCATTTTGAAATCTTGACGCTTTACAATGAGTCCCATTTATCAGGGATTGATGCGATTGATTCGGAGTTAAAATGGGTAATTGAGACAGGGTCAAAAATTCGAGCCGAGGGGATGAAAGTATTGGAGAAGGGATTGGAGAATTTGAACCAAGCGGAGGTGGGGTTAGGGTTGCAAGTATTTTATAACTTGGGAGAGTTGAGAGGGACTGTGGATGGGTTGGTAAGTAAGTATAAGCAAACGGGCTTGAAGAATATAAGTAATGCATTAGATATGAAGGCAATTTCTGGTGGCGGGGCCTACGGGGCTGGGATGCCAGGTGGGGTGCAGAGGCATGGTACACCGCAGATTGGGGGTGGAGGAAAGGCAAAGGAGGGACTTTGGCAGAGGATGAGTGGTTGTATGGACCAGTTGCATTCCATTGTTGTCGCAGTTTGGCACTTGCAGAGGGTGTTGTCTAAGAAGCGCGATCCATTTACTCATGTTCTATTGCTAGATGAGGTCATGCAGGTGCGCTGGTTGAGTGTGGTTTCGGTAGTTCTTGATATAATGAGGAGTTATTATGAATTTTCTGATAGAATTTTAGTTGATTTCTTGGACTTGTTTATTTAATTGATGGTGATGAGTATTGACAACATTATTTATGATCAACTATGATATGATGGACCTGTAATATGGGATGCATTGTTCTGTCTTTAGAACCACTGGATGATTAAACTCAAGGGTTACTTTTAACTTAACACAAGTTACATAGGTCTAAACAAGTGATGATGAAGGTATCAGAGAAATCCACCATAATTTGAACGAACTAGAATGAATGTTTATAATAATAAGTGGGTTCTGATTTGTTTTGAGTAGCTTTGTATTTTAATTTCAGTTAGATGTTAGGTTAAACTTCTTAAGAGCTCAAAATTGATGTTATAAACTTGTAGGTATTTAAGTGCTTTTCAAACTCTTCCTTTTAGGGTCAATTTGAGGAAAATACATATTTTAGTGAAGTAGAGATTGGTTTTGAGTATATTATCTTCATGTTCATGGATATTTCTAAATGAGTTCACATAAGATAATCTTCTTCTTCATTGTTTTTAGGGGCAACGAAAATTTCGGGTTTCTTTGATTGTTATATTGGAGCACATGCTCAACAGTTTCTCTGTAGATCAGTAATTAATGTCAAACTTACTAGTCTCATGTTTGGTTTAGATAAAAATAATTTTTTAGAAGATTTTGATAATAAGTTGATGGTATGTGTGGATGAAAAGTTGTGTGTCCATGAAATTTGTTGACTTTGAGTTATATTTTAATTCAAATTTTAAGCTGAACCAAACAGGGGCTAGATGTTCCACTGTTTACTTGATCGACTATCTTGGTTGAACACGATTAGTTAATTTTTACTTTGTAATAGAACAGAATGACTGGTTTACTTAATCATACTTTTGCTACCTGGAATGCTGTAAGCTTCCTTGCAAGAAGTCAAAACCAAGCGGTATTGCAGAATTTATAATATGACAGACTCGCTTTGCAATGTAGTGCAGGGTCCTTTCTAAATACAGTTATATACATCCTTTGGCCAAATGTTCTGCTGTTTGAACCTGATTGAAGACCTATGCTTAGTATCATTCTCGGCCTGACTACTGAAGCAACAATCATTACGTAGATCATTGTTAGATCACAAAATTAAATTAATTTTATATTTAAACAAAAATTATAATTCATAAATTTATCCTCATTGATGCATTCATCAGGAATCTTAGAGCTGACCATTTGAGTATCATTCGTCGAGGCTTACACCTTTTTTTTTTTACTTTGTTCATACTTGGCTATTTCATCTTCTAAGCCGATCTTGAATGAACTTTGTGTTAACCAAGCTTAAGTCTCCCGTTTATACTCCGACCATTAAAAAACCAAATTCTGGAATGGGTTTCCCTGGCCAATTGTGTTGTTGAACATCTTGTTGATCTTCGCTTTTTTTTGTGTAACTTTAAATTTATTGGTGATGTCAATTCATCTGTTAGCTGCTTACATCTGCTCATGTTTTCTCAGGAAGGTGATCCCATGTTAACTGACCGTGTTTGGGAGGCTTTAGTAAAATCTTTTGCAAGTCAAATGAAGTCTGTTTTCACTGCATCAAGCTTTGTAAAGGAGATATTTACTACGGGGTATCCAAAGCTATTGTCTACGATTGAGAACCTCCTTGAAAGAATTTCACGTGATACTGATGTTAAAGGAGTTGCCCCAGCTCTCCGTTTAGAAGGAAAGGAACAAATGATAGCTGCCATTGAGATTTTCCAGACAGCATTTTTGGGGCTCTGCTTGAGTCGACTTTCTGATCTTGTTAATTCTGTATTTAACATGTCTAGCCGTGGAACTGTTCCCTCAAAAGAGCATATCTCAAGGATTATATCACGCATTCAGGATGAAATTGAAGCTGTGCAGCTGGATGCACGTTTGACTCTTCTTGTCTTACGTGAAATCAGCAAAGTTTTGCTTTTGGTCGCAGAAAGAGCTGAATATCAGGTGCCCTTTTTATTTCTCCTTGTAAATTCCTAATATTTTACCCCCTAGAAATCCATTCCACCCTCCTTTTTTTTTTTTTTTGTCTTGAGGGAAATTCTATTCTGTATAGTTCTTTATTTCTCTTTTACTTATATTTAAATGCTCACGGGGATGGTAAATTAAAAAGATACGCAAACTAGTTGATTGACCTAGAAAAGATAAGCAAACTAGTTGATTGATGTAGTCCAAACCTCTTCATTTTGTCTCCTGCCCCAAATACATCTTTGGTGCCTTCGAAGAGAATGTTCAGTATGTTGTTGTGTAGACGTCATTAATCATCCTTACCAGCTTTCAAATCATAGCATAAACTTTAATATAAATTTTTGAACATGAAAATAGGAGTATCAATATAGTTTTGTACATATTAGTGCTATGTGCCAGACATTTTGGGTAGCTTCATTTCAATTCAATGATTTGTGGAGTGTATCAGAAGTCTTGACTATCCACGGTATCATCTTTTTTGATGAACCATATTTATTCACTAATTAGCACATAGAGGGAAATCTTTCTTCCAAGTCACAAGATAAGAGCCATTATCTTTCTTTGATTACAGACCGAGATTACTACTAAGCATAGCTCACTAAATGCTATCACCTATTCTCATGAAAATGTCTTTTAGAAAACCCATCCACTTGTCTACTCAACTAGCACTGGATTGATTGTTCTAAAACATCAAGTCTCAGAGGCATGATCTTGTACTAAAATATAGTATGTATCTTGGTATTCTGCCAGTGGATTAATGTAAATAACATGTGCATGACTCCCATTTTCTATAACCTATGCTATCCAAGTGCTTGAAATGTTCATGCTATTCCCTACCCACTGCAAACCTCTACGTGTTTGTCTCATTTAAGGGCTTCACTTGCTGCTGTTGTTGTCCATCTTTCACTTCAGATCTGCCACTCAAGTTATTCCATGATTTTACGCAAAACTTTCACCTAAATGAACAAATGCATTCCTTATTTTTTGTCCTACCCCTGATCTTCTCGTGTTGATATATTAAATGGTACCTTAACATATCCACAACCCTAAACAAAGGAGCTGTTTCTAGCTTGGATTCATTTCAGCAACCATGAGTGTTACCCACATCCCTCAAGTTTGATAATCCATTCCATCCAAAATCGAATTGAGGTGATGAATAGCAGATGCGTACTTTTCCATGAAAATGTCTTTTTCACTGGAAGGTAAAGTACTTCCTGTCTTAACTATTTCAGGAGTCTTCTTATGACGTGCACTGGCAACAACCTTTCCTGCTCAAAGCTTTAAAAAAATAAAAAAATAAACTCGTTTTGGGTTCTCATTTTTCTTTGTTATACAATCTTTACTGTTTACTCATCTTTTCTTTGTCCAGACTTGTCGAAATTTTCTATTCTTGACAAATTTAATAATACGTTGGGAGATTGATTTGAGGACTAGCAATTTAGAAAGTACACTACAAAAAAAGGAATTCTTTCTAGCAAAGGTTCATTTCCACAGCTATCATAGTACCACACAACCCTCAAGTTCTCCATTTGGTCCTAAAAATAGAGTTGAGGCGATTAAGGGCGAGAACTTTCTTTCTCAATAACTATCTGCTGAACAGTTTTAAGGCATCTTCTTATGATGTGAACTGTGCACCCACCCCTACCCAAAACACAATAGTTAAGGTAAAAATGTCTCTTGACTACTATTTTCCTTTTGTGCCAACCATATAATTTACCCATTGTCTCCTTGTTCAGTTCAATATCTTGTTGACTTACACCAGCCTTAATCAATTTAAACTTTCTATGCCCTGGACTGTTTTTTTTTTTTGGAACTGGACCAATCCTCGTGGTTAAGTCAGATTTCCAAATTGCAAAGTGAAAACTGCACATCTCTGTGGCCAAAATTATGCTGAGTGTTTGAAAGTTATTTCTCTATTTTATTGTTAGTTGCATATTATTAGGGTCTAAACTTTGCTGGACACCGTAAAAATAACTTCCAGTGCTTGGCTTCTACGATTTGTCTTGTACCCATTATCCTTGTATGGAATTTTCTTATTCGAATTAGCCTCAGTCTAACAGTATGTTTCTGCCCATCTCTAATTCATAAACTGGCATTCTTATTCTGGACATTTCTGTCTCGAGCTTCATCGTTAATAGTTATGACCAATATCGTTTGATTTCATAGTAATGAATTTATGCATTAGCACCCTCACCTGAAAAGAAAAGAAAAATCTTCTGGTGTTCTCATTCTATAGTTTATACTGGTCTTAGAGATTAATTTTTCCATTAGAAGTTTGAAATGATTTAGAGAAGATTTCGGTTACTAGTTGTGTGTTATAACTTCTAATAACACTAGGGGAAGATGACTAGTCAGCTGTTTAAGAAAGACTGCAAATGAGGTTATTTGTGAGCCATGACATTGTGCTCATTACTTTTAGTTTACATATTGTCTGGGAAATAACCTTCTTAAACAGTCTTGTAAGTAAATGAATTCTTGTGGCTTTGATTCGTAGCCCCTCAATGTATAACCTCTCCTCTCTATTCAATCTGACAAGTACTTATTTTGATGGCAGATATCGACTGGCCCTGAAGCACGCCAAATAACTGGTCCTGCTACTCCGTCGCAGATCAAAAACTTCACATTAAGTCAGCATCTGCAGGAGATCCATGCACGTGTAACATCAATGATAGCAGGACTGCCAACTGTTGCTTCAGATATTTTATCCCCTGCCCTTGGTACAATATATGGTGTTGCCTGTGATTCAGTGACACCCTTATTTCAAGCGATGCTCGATCATCTCGAGTCCTGCATCTTGCAAATTCATGATCAGAATTTTGGTACTCTCAGCATGGATGCTGCTATGGACAACAATGCAACACCTTACATGGAAGAATTGCAGAAGAGCATTCTTCATTTTCGGTCTGAATTTTTGTCCAGGCTTTTACCTTCTTCTGGCGCTATCTCTGCAGGAGCAGAAACTATATGCACAAGGCTTGTAAGGAGCATGGCATCTCGGGTTTTAATATTTTTTATTAGACATGCTTCACTTGTTAGACCGTTATCAGAATCAGGGAAGCTGAGAATGGCTAGGGACATGGCTGAACTTGAATTGGCAGTAGGCCAAAACTTGTTTCCTGTAGAGCAACTTGGAGCACCATATCGGGCCCTTCGAGCATTTCGGCCTGTTATTTTCTTGGAAACATCTCAAATGGGAGACTCACCACTTCTTCAAGATCTTCCACCAAGTGTCATACTTCATCATCTCTATTCACGTGGCCCCGAAGATTTGCAGTCACCTCTGCAAAGGAACAAGCTTACACCTGTCCAATATTCACTGTGGATGGATTCTCAAGGGGAGGATCAAATTTGGAAAGGCATCAAATCAACTTTGGATGATTATGCTGCAAAGGTAAGGGCCAGAGGAGACAAGGAGTTCAGCCCTGTTTACTCTGTGATGCTGCAACTGGGGTCATCTTTGAGAGGGAATGAATCATAACCTTGTCAATTGACATCTAGTTCAAGCATAATAATCTGTCCATAAATCTTCTCCTCCACCAGATTTGCCTTCAAAATATCACTATAGGTGGTGGTACACACTCAATCATCTGATTTCTGTCTTTACCTTCTATTATACCTCGTATTATTGCACACTTTTGTTTCGGGAATCACGTTCTTGATTTTTTTCATTTGTAACATCATTGTCCTTAAATTGATCAAACAAAATGATATGGTGGATAGTTTTAAGTTCTTGAAAATCCATTCATCATTAACCCGTGAATACTAAGAGCCTGTTTTCCCCATCTTAAGTCAGAATATTGTTTTCTATATCATTGGATGGAGCATTGCAATGGCAAACAAGTATTTGATATGTTGGACATGTACAAATGGCCGATGATCTGTTGCAGTTTTATGCATTTATTGGATAAGAAATGAACCAAAAAATTGATCTATTAGAAATTGTATGAATTTCTCTCTCTCTTATTTTTTTGTTCCTCCTTTTTTGGTCTATAGTTTTGTACTGTTAGAAATTTGTAGAGACCTGACTGAAAGATAACAAGCGAGTAACTCCTTGAGGTGACACTACCCCATATGGCTACCTAAAGTTAAAGAATTTGATGAGAACCACGTAGCAACGAACATCACGCAACCCACAATGAGATTGAAGATCCCAAGAAAGCCCAAAGAATAATTTCAGTTTTGAGTTTGAATCAAGAATTAATGAATTAAGCAACCAAATAAAAACGAAGTTTGAATGACCTCTTGATTACACAACACGTGATCCGCACTCGGTGTTGAACGCCACACGAATCATTTTGATAAGTTCAGAATGTTCTAAGAAGAACAATGTTTGAAAATCACAATAGCCTCTCGAATATATGTCAATAGTAAATTTGTCAAAATGTTTATACATTAAATAATGAAGTCATATTTATACTAATGGCTAGAAAATTTAGTAAAAATGTAATTAGGTTACAAAATATTGTAAAATTGGAAAGAAAAAAGAATTATAGTATAACAAGGAAATTCGCGAAAAAATTAAATTTCTCACCAAATTGTTTTCGGCATGTTTTTGTGCAATCGCAAGACCAAAAGTACCATGCGCCCATGTAACCTTGTGTAAAATTTCGTGCTGTTTCCGGAATGTACTCATGAGCGAAAATCCGACAACTGGGCTGAAAGTTATGCCCGTTTTCATCCACGCTGCTCATTTGCTGCTTGAATCGAGTTGATCCATTTGGTTTCTTCTTCCGAACTAAACATGAAACTTGTTTCTTGACTTGTTAACATTGAAATTTCGTCCACCATAGCTTGAGCAAGCAATCTCATTGCCTCTTTCACCCGCTTTGCCCTCGAACGTGTTATCGGGCCTTCTTCGATAATCAAAGGGATCCCGTCCCGGGCTTGTCATTGTCGGGCTCGACTCCTAAATCATATCAGAATTGGTCAATCTTGCCTTGCATAATTCAAAGAGGCATGATATTTTGGTGATCTCATTGAAACCAGAACGAAGATGCGATATTTGTCTATAGATTTACCCAGTAAAACATGTCCTAGATGCATTGATTATAGCATAATTAGTTTAGGTGTGAATAGGGAAAAGGAAAAATTGAGAATAAGAATAAAATTTTATCATACCTATGATATAAAAAACCACTCGTAATTTTTGTCAAGTTAGGCTTGTACGACTGTGAACCTTAACCAATGACTCTGTTTGGGCTTATTTTTGTCCGAGTGATTTAAGAAACATCCTCCATTCTGATTCACTTTTTATTTTGATGCTATTACATAATTTCTATCTCAAGTAGCATTAGTTCTTGACTGGCGAAGTGCACAGAATTGTTGCTACATCAAGTCTTCTCAAATAACTAATCTCGTAACTGATGTTGAAATCAGGAATGGAGGCTAGTGCGTGTATGTCTGATGTAATGTATTTTCATTCTGATAATGATGTATACCTATATCAACTTAAACTTTTGTGTTTGTCAGGTAGGAAAATATCCCCTGGACCAATTCTATTTTGTTTTCCAACTTCATGAACTGACATAAACAAAAAAAATAAAAATGGAAAAGAATACCAACATCCATGTAACAACAAATCTTGGCATATTGCTGATATTTTCCAGACATTCTGCTCTCTCACACGCATGAGAGAGAGAGAGAGAGAGAGAGAGAGATGTTATTTGGTGGCTGGGGGAGGGGAGGGGACTTCATTTTCAGCATATTTCTGTTTTATGACCTTAAGTTGTATATTTCCACCTCCCAGCTCCAATTAGTATTCTCCGAAGGAGGTGGGGGTCGACAAATTCGAGGCCAAACTGAAATCCCTATCTAGTTTTCCAGACAACATGGGGAAGAAACCTAAGTCCGCTCAAGTTCCCATGAAAATACCCAAGAAGATCAACAAGAAACAAATCACCAGTACTTTATTAAAGACTTTACGGCCCAAAGTTTATATTACAGACTCGTCAAATTTCAAGACTCTTGTTCAGCAACTGACTGGTAATGAAAATTCTACGCTACTACTCTCATCTCCATCGCCTGTAGAGATCATTCAAGATCATGCATATCAAGAAAATAGTTGGGATTTGTCGTTCAATACATCGGGTTTCAGTACTCAATTAGAAAGCTCCCCCTCCCCGGATTTACAAACTCCAGAAACATTGGATTATGTGATGGAAAATTCGTTGAATAGCAAAAATATTGAGTTTTCGTCGTACTATGGGGATACAGAGTTACTACTTTTGGAGATGGACCCAGCTTTGCATAATTATGATGCATGCTATGCTATGATTCAGCAAGAGGTCTATGTTTATGATCATAATTTCTCTGGCTTCATATGATCATATATATGTACACACACTTGGTTCAAGAATCATCAGCCAAGGGCTTATGTTGTGCATAGTTATATGGATATATTCTATCACTCTCATGTATAAATAGTTATAGGGAATGTACATTGTTTGCTCTCAAAAGCAAATTATATTGAACTATGTATGTACATTTTATACTTGTGGCACAGTTGAATGTGTAGATATCATGAGTGTGAGAAGTGCACGATACCGCGTCAAGAAACCTGAGTGTCCATTCCACTATGTGCAAATTGCTAGTGCAAAGTCTTTGTTCTAAAGTAGTATATTTTCCTTCGAATGACATTCCCATTCATGAAACATACTACATAAGAATTTTTACATAAAAGCTCATCCTAATCCGCATATATACTGCTGTCTTGGCCCTGTCTTGTCTTATGCTATTTGTTTCGGGATTTTTCCTTTTCCTTCAAATGACGTTCCCATTCATGAAACGTACTTAGATTCTTAAGTTTGTTGGGAATTTCATTCTTTAACAGTTTAATGATTATGAATTCAACAAATTATAATTACATATTTGTCGGTTTTACATTTTTCTTGATATCAGCGGCATTGTTACCTTCTGATTCATGGAGTTAGTATAGGCACAGCAAATGTAGTCTCTATTGTTTACATACAAATGGGGTATCCATTGCTTTGATCCCAATGTAGTAGATTTCATCATTCCCTTGTCACCGGTCGACTGAACTTCAGTGCTCGAAGGAAGCATTGACTTGAACCTCTTCCGAATGACCTCAGCTTTTTCCCCGATGTTTCTTAAACTCATAACTAATGAAATCGAGGGCGGATAGAACAAATGTGCCTCCACGTTTATTCCTGGTTGGACTAATGTTTTTCCTTCATGGAGAGCAAAACCTGCTCCTAAAGAATGTCCTGCAATACATATATTGTCTCTTCCATACTTGTCAGTAGTCGATCTCAATGCCTTGAATGTGCAACTAAATCTCAATGATGCCTTCAAACTTTCCCAAGCTAGGAAACGAAGATCATCCTCAAAGTGCTAAAACAGCCCTTGGCGTGCCATTAGCCCCTGTTTGGGCTCCATTAAAATGTATTTTTGGGGAAAAATATATATTGGTATAGTGATTTTTTGAAAAATATGTGATTCAAAAAGAATGAAAATGTTTACGTATAATATTATTTTATTGGAGAATGCGTGATTAAAAAGGAGAGAAAAATGCATTTTAGATAAAATGAAGCCCAAATAGGGGTTAAGTCGAAGCAGTACAAAGTCGGCCAAAACTGCGACACAATCTTATTCAAGTATTTCCCTGAATATTGATCCATCTCTTTCGGGTTTCAGAGAGTTTGTGCTTAAAGGGTATCCACCATTTAGGAGCAAGAGCATTTTTATCTCTTCGATTTTCTTGTCTGTCAAGTTCTAGCAAGTAAACTGCGTGTATAAAACATGCAATTACTGTCCTTTTATGATTGATATCCTTCCTGCAAAATGCAATTCCCTTAAATCTTCTGTATTTTGTACTCTTCAAGTACTAAATCAAATCCAATCAGAACTGAAAAACTAAAGAACTTCAAAGCTACAAGTATATATTCTACATTCAATACTTTCAAATGCAAAGAGCAGAACAAAGTTCTTCGAGAAAAATCCAACCACTGGATTCCAAAGCAGGGTTAAAACTGAACACATAAAAACATCTTGGCCATTTACATAAATTCAATGATAAACCCTTACCTTAAATCGACCAAAATCAAGAACTAGTTGAACATACAGACATTCATTTGAAACATAGTAGAAATATATAATGCCAAGCCAAACCATATATACACAAACACAGAAACATTAGATGAGAAGATGAGAAAAATGGGGAGAATGGGCACTGACCTACAGGAGTTGATGAGGTCTTCCCATTTAGGAGAAGGAACATTTCGAGGTCCAGACAAAAGGTGAATACACCTCTATCTATATTCCAAGGTTTTCATTTATTATTGAAGTGATTTGGCTGCTTCAGGAAGATGCTGGACCCACAGGAAATATTTGTGGAGGATCTAATTTCTTGAACTCAGACTTAAATTGAGGTGTCCGTTTATCGAATTATTAGCAATTGAAATGGAAACCCAAAAGCTACCAAATATGGTACTAGAAAATTTCAGAACACCAAAATTATCCCATGGCCCTGAATTTTGGTACTGCTTTTCTACACCTAAAAACTCATTCACTGAAAATTAGAAATAACAAACTTCTCTTGAAGCTTTATGAAACTTCCACTCCATCTCCATCTTCTCTGAAAGCAGCTGCTTTCTCTGAAGGAGCTGAGACTAGAGTCACTGAGGAGGAATCCCCTGCTTTTTATGGTATCTTGGCATTTCTTGATATTGTTTAACCCTTTTTTATTTTAATTTTGTTTTGGAGAAAAACCCAGAAAATTTTGCATGAATAATGATTTAAGAAACTTATGTTGTTGTTGATTAGATGGTTTTTAGTGAGTGATTTTGATGATTTTATACTATTGTTATATGCACTTGCTAAATAAGTGTAAATCAAAAAATAGGTTTTGCTTCCCTTATTAAAAAGCAGACATAATGGATTAGTGATAATGATGAAGACGTAATCCTAGGAGACACAAGTCCCAAGATTTTAGTGATACATCACTTCATAATCCTAATTTTCATGCTGTAACTATGTTGAGATCCAATAAATTCAATGATATCTCAATAGATTATGATAGTTTTTCACGTTGAGACTTTCAACCTGCACATGAAGCAGTATGTCGAAAGTTAATCCATGTCATAGAGTTTAAGATTTTAGACGAGACGATTATAGAGCTCCATTGCTACAAATGGTGAAAAGAAAAGGATTGTATCAATACTATACATTTCATATGGCATAGTGTAATAAAAGGCTCCATCCTAATTTTAGGATTAAGCCTTATTTCCAATTTATAGAGCAATAATGAATGAAACAAAAAATAGAAACGCTCAAATTGAAACACATAGGTTTAAAGTGGCTTATCCTGTGGAATATACACTATAACCGAAAATTAGTACACAACGGAGATCTCACCCCTCTCTATCTTTTCTCACACGCTAAGAAAAACAAACACCCCTCCTCAGATTCTTTTATATAATGTACGAAGTTTGGGCGAACTAATACTGAGAAATAAATGCCCAATACATTTCTTTAAGTGAATAGAATAACTAGGCTACACTCAATCGAATACTTAAATTTTAAATGATGTGTGGTTTGAGTCATTCCAAATGGTTCCCTTGTCACGAAGTTCAACAGTAACCAAGAAAAGGGTGATAGTAGAAAATTTTGATGAAGATATATGATTATCACTTATCAGGATAGAGGACATAAATGCTGTTTGGGCATTAGATTATGAGTCTAAATGTTAAATTGAGGTGAAACCACACAAATATCAGACATTGTTTTTCAAATTTATGGCTTTAAGATTGATGATATCTGCATGCTTCCTTTGGGAATAAATCCATCCAATTAAAGCTGTATCATCAGTTCTTCTCAAGATCTTTTGTATTCCATCCCTTTCTTATAACAACTCAATTTGATTCATCTGACTAATGTCTTTTTAATACCCTTTCAATTTAAGGATCGTCATCTTCTGCCCGGGTGCAACTGGATCTGTTGGAGCAACTTACTTCCGGTGGCTCCTCTGTTAATGGTATCGCCCAGTTTGGACTATAGCACATCAAATTTAGCTTTCCCTTTTCTTTTCCTTCTTCCCAAGATGGAGATATTTACTTCTATTAAACATGACCCTAAATAGCTAATTTTGGTTATCACTTGACAGGTTATGAGAGTGATGGTAGTTCTGATAGACTGACTATACGTGATCAGCTTGCCAAATTGGTTGGAGATCGTGATGATGATTTTAGCATTCCACTGGGTAAAAATCTGAAGAAGTTTAGTGCCAAATTCTTAACTATTTCGCAGAGGAGAAATATCAAAAGACAGGCTTACTTGAATGAAGTGTCTCAGAGGAATGATTCAGTTTTCTTTGCCACTATTGGAGCATTTGTCCTTTTTCCACCTCTTATCATTTTAGGAATTGCTATTGCAACTGGTTATGTGCAGCTATTTCCATGAGATAAACTCTGTACATATTGTAGAGATGTTTCAGTTCCTTGTATTCATATAATCAGATTAGTCTTAACAATCAAAGGGCACATTTTTGGATATACAGATCATTATGACCGTTGCATGTGGCCAATAATTTTGGCCCAATAATAGTTTGTTATTAGAAATTTTCTCAAAGGTTTGTTTTTGCTTTTTTCATCTTTTATGCTGTTACAATATGAAGATGAGAGAACTTCTAGATGTTGTGAACCACTTGTGGCGAAATCTTCCCTTTTTTGGTCAATGATGAGTTTGCCTGCATTTTAACACTATGTTCGTATTCACTATTCCATGGATGTATACCTGAAATTTGCAGGCGCTGCTCACTTTATGTTGACATCCAAAGAAATACAGGTTCGATCTTGTGTATATCAATATGCGATTTGCTTGTGTCCAGGAGTAATAACCAAGTAATGAATGGTGATTTTAGTCAATGAACTCCATTGTGAGTTTACATGTCCATTTATATTCTTTATTCTGTTAAAGTTACTATCTATCATGTTAATGAGGTTAAATAAGATTACGGACATCATTGAAGATTACGGCTTGACGTCTATATTATCAAATCTTATTGAAAATCATTGAATATATTTGGCAAATCAAAACCGAGTCATTGTTCATCATGCCTAAGAAGTGTGTACATTTTAATTTCTTGAATTGGAGTTTAAGAGGGCAAAGAATGAGCAAGGTGAACTTGTAGCTGAATGTTGATTATCAATTCATATCTATATATTCTCTCTTCCTTTCTGATCTTTAGATTTTGATGCAGCATATATAATTCCTGATGTTTGGCAGAACTAAGGGAGGTTCCTTATTCTTTATTCCCATCTTTTCCCATTAACGATGCCTTACTAATTGAACAATATTGGAGCCTCCAGACCATTGAAATTTATGTACAAAACAAATGCAGAATAATTAGGTACTATATAGTCTATTCTGTTGCAATGTGATGCTTTGTTAATAAAAAGTATACTAAATGTCTGGCATTTAGGATTGAAAGCACAAATCAATGTGGATATGTGAATAAGTCATTGGCATCTGAATTCTCAACAGGGCTCAGGTGATGTTTCTTTCTGGTTGAGTCTTGGAGATATTTCTTGATCGGTGGGTTGTACTGCTTCATTGCATAAAATGACTCCTTGCTTCTTTATGTAGTACCATTTTTCTTGGAGAAGGTAGAAGAAGATTATAAGAGAGATCTGAGCATTGAAAATAATGAGCCTAGAATCAGGCTTTGTAGACAAGTCTAGAATGGCCAAATTCATGAATCTATATATAAGTAGACAAATACCCATAAAATAGGGGCTTTTACAAATGCATGAATGTGCTACCTCTGTAGCTCTCTATAATATCATTGTCAATTTGCATTTTCTTTGATCATTGGCAATTTATACCAAACAAACATGCCATCCATGACACTACGCTATTTGGTATAGAAACACCTATAGTTGTTTATAAGGGCCTGTTTGATTTGCATTTAATTCTATGGAACTTGGAAATAGATTTTCATTTTCTTGGTTTTAGCTTGTTTGATGAACACAATTTTCTAGGCCAATTGTTTTCTTGATTCTTGCTTCACGCGCCTTATTTCCTTTTAATTGGTGAAATCATTCTCCCACCTATTTGGTGGGAAAATGGAATTCTAACTTCTTTTTTTTTTGGTAATGGAAATAAATTTTATAATTAATTGTAAAAAAAAATCACTTTAATGGACAATTTCCATGTAAAACAAAGCCAAACGAATACTAAATTATAATGAAAAAAATGATTTTTTAGAAAATTTTATTTTTTTTCGTTTTTTTTTTTTACTTTTTT